CCTGAGCCCCCTCCGGGAGGCAGTGAAGGACAGGAAGGCCTGGCGCAATATGGTTCATGCGGTCACGAAGAGTCAGACACGACTTAACGACTGAACAACAACAACAACAGATGAAAAAGATCACATAGAAAGTACTAGGCAATTTAGTGTGGTTGGCAAGTTGGGGTACTACTACTGAGAAAGTTGGATTTGGTCCACAAATTATGCTCAGTCACGACTTGTTTAATTATGATTGATTGACCCCAGTTGGCTGGTTTATTCAAAACACACTGTGCCAGGAACTGTGATTTACTCATCCCAGTTGTTGGGTTCGTTCATTCAAATCCAGCCAATGTTATGGTTTTGTATGATCTGTTTGAACCCAATTAATGGAGAACTGAGCCACTGGTTGTGAGCGTCAAGGGCCCGTGCCCATTTTTCAGGAAAGCACAAATAACCATACCAATCAGGAGGCCGACAGCAGCCATTCTATAGGGTTCCCAGCACCAGCTGGCAAGAGCGACGGCAAGGGGACGTGGGGGAGCAGGAACCTTGAAAGAGCTCCCCACCAGCCCAGCAAAGACTTACGGCAGTTGAGTTCATCTGTGCCGTCCTGGCAATCCTTCAAGCCATCGCAGCGTTTCCAGTTGGGAACACACTTCTTCGTCCGCTGGCACTCAAACTCAAACCGGCTGCACCGTCCAAGGATGCTGGCTGATGTCGAAGTTGCACCAATGGCTGGGTGAGCAGAAGGTGGAAGAACACACGTGTTATCAGAACCCAGTGGGGATGTCGCTATCCTGCGGCATTAAAGGCTAGCTTGGTGGAATGACAATTTATCTGAGTCTGCAAGGTCAGTTTCCTTGCCTCCCGTACCACCAGATGGCAGCCTCAGTCTGCTGAGCAGGAGACAATGGACGGAGCCTCAAAACCATGATCTGAGCCTTCCTAGTTCTGAATCGGAGCTGTAGGAGGCTGGTGCACCCAATCGCTTCTGGGCTGGCAACTTCAGCAAAAACATGGCCTTCCCCATCTGTCAGTGCAGAGATTTTCAAGTATCATTCCTTCAGGGAACGGGCCCTGCAGAAGAATCTTTGAAGATGTTCACCTGGTTCACATGGGATGTAAGCCAGGTTGCCCTCTGCAAGTTAGCAATGGCCCCCAACAGTCTTTCCCAACTTGGTGTCCCTGAGATATGCTGCACTTTGACCTTCCTCCTGCTCCAACCAGTGTAATAGGCAGATTGATCCATATGGACTTTGAACACTGTGCAAACCCAGGAGCTGTGGTTTGTTGTGCTGCACAGGCCAAGCCACTATGGCTTGTTCAACAACCCACAGCTAAAAAAAATCCTGCCTTGGTATTATGAGTGAACATAGCATGTCCTCAGTGCTTGCCAACTGATAGCACTGGAAAGTGAATTATTCATCTTCCAAGATACCCTGGAAGTGTGGGTTTTCCACGATTCCTTCTGGCAGCTCTTAGGTCTTCTCCATGTTACACTACTTGGAAGCTATCTTTGCATTGTGCCACTGATGCAAATGATGTCATTCATGTCAATTGCGCAATGGTGTGAAGTCATCCCCCCCTTCTTGCCCCCCCCAATACCGATGCCTAGAAAACAGTTGAAGGAGCAAGCATGAACAGAAGGGTGCCTTACGTGCGGTGGGACAGGCCTCCTCATCTGATCCATCTGCACAGTCCCGGTATCCATCGCAGACCCAGCTGTTCATGATGCAAGTCCCACTATTACACCGGAAGTGATTTGGGGCACACGTGGCAGGAACCGCTGTGGTAATGGGGATGACCGCAGAGCCTAGATTTCAACCAGAACGACTTTAGAGGAGCTCTCGAGGGTCACGCCAGTTCCCTGGTGTCAGCCACTCAAGGTGGGCCAGTCAGGAAACAGAGACTGCAGGGATTGATTCCAAGAATGCTAGTTTATCACTGTAGGGTATCACAGCAGAGGCTTGAAAGCCTATCCAAATTTCTCTTAATCCCATCTTATACTAAACAAAATCAAGGCAGGCATATTGGAGTTACTTTCTCATGCTTCCTTCTACCTCTGGACTCTGATCTCTTCTCAAAGTCTGTCCTTAATGGCTCGCTCATACCTTCTCCAAGGTCAGCTCTAAACTCCTTTACACCTAGACCATCCAGGTCAGTGTCCTATGTCCAAAAGCTGTCCAGCCAAATACCTTGGGGAAGCAAGGCACCGAAGTTCACCATAATACTATTTCCCCCTTACTTGTCCCCAGACCTCTGCTGAGAACAGCGCTTCTTCCAGGGGAGTGCAGAGTCTTGGACTCCAGGGCCTTTGCATGGACTGCTGGTCCCAAAGAGGATAAGGCTAGGACAAAGCAGCAGGCAGGTTCTTCATTTGACTAGAAAAGGGAGCAAATAGGATGCCCCAAGATTCACTCCTGGGACCATATCCTTCAGAAAATTTATTAATGACTTAGATGGAGGGAAAGTCAGAAGGATTTTGACAGATTTCATATGTGGAATGCAATGATCTTGGAACAGTAGTTTGTTAGAAACAGAATATAAGTCAACAGTGTGATGCTGCTGCAAAAAAGGCAAATGCAATTTTAGGCTGCATCAACAGAAGCGTAGTTTCTATTCACAGGGCCTAACAGTACCAAATTTGAGCCACTGGCAAAGAAGACTCGCTCTTACCACCACATGACTTCTCATCAGACCAATCACCACAATCATTTTCTTTGTCACACTTCCATCGGTTCGGAATGCAGTGCCCATTGTCACACTGGAACTGGTAATAGCGAGAACAGTTCGGGGCTTCGGTTGGGTTTTCTAGCAAGGACAAAATATTCCAATTAGTTTCCACCACCTTAAAGGCTAGGGGTGTATAAACCAGCTTTTTAAAGGCATGATTTTTAAGAAGTAAAATATAACACACCAGAAAAAGGCAGCTAACATCATTCCCCTCTGAAAAGTTGTGTATAGCTCTGACGGTGACTCAAGAAGATTAAGGGAAGAACATTTTTGTTGCAAGATTAAAGAGAGAAAACTAGAACTAAAGTAAGATTAAAAGGGGCAGGGGGAGAAGCATCTGTTAGAAACCAAAATGGTACCATCCACGTCATGATATCATTCAAATGGAACGATGATGTGGTTTGGGTGATGATGTCATTAAGTGTGACATCCCTCACTCCCCACTCCCACACTCCCACAGACGTCTCCTTTTCTTCCAGTGAAACATTCTCAGCTCACCACAGTTTGCCTCGTCAGAGTAATCTCCACAGTCATCGGTGCCATCACACTTCCACACCAAGCTGACACACACGCCGTTCTGACACTGGAAGCTGAACTGGTCACAAGTGCGATGGAACTCAGGGTCTTGGGCTGCAAGCAACACAACTGTTGTTAGGGAAGGGAAATTCCACAACCCAGCCTTGAATCCTGCTGGCAACAGCCTGGACCTCTTTGAAGAACGTCAAAGGGCCACTCTGAACAGTCTTGTCTTTAGATGCTACCATGGATGGCTATTCCACCAGCAGATGGTGGACCAAGAAGGATGAAGACACCTAGAACTCAGGATAATCCCATCTGCAACCTCCAGACTCAGAACCTGGGGCCTCACCCACCAGTTTCAAGTATCAGCTCACTTGGTAGTTTAAATATCCATTTCTCAATTCTGCAATCACATCCCGCAAGCTCTGTTCATATCGCTAGGCCAAAAAATGCTAATCTATTATCTAACATTTATACAAGGTTTAAGAGCAGTGATTTTGCATCTGTTGACTGTTCTTCTCCCTATCTTAGTCCTCCTGAGGATCCTTCATAATATTACAGTGATGTCACCAGAGAGGGTGGGGGCAGAATTTTCTGCCCACCTCCCCTTTTCTCTAAAAGCAACAGAATTTATTAAGCCTATCGGACGCTCAATGCACCTCTTTTACATCCTATTCTTTGGAAATTCCCTGACTTATGCTGTCATTCAATTTTGATGGTGCAATCTCAGATTGTTGGGGAGCCATAGAAGTTGGTGCACAGGACTTTGGGCTGACCACCGCTGGCTTACAAAGTGGAAAGCTTTTCTTGAAATCCTTAAAATAGCCCTCCAAGACAAAATGTGGTCCGAGGACCCCTGAGGTTTCCCCAAGACCCCCTCAGGGGTCTGCAAAATCAGAATTATTTGCCAGCCTATGTTGAAAAATAATACAATAGTAAAATCTCATCAAACCATCATGAGAAAGTTTGCAGCGAACACATCCATTTTAATTCTTAATATGGTAAATATCGATAAATATAACCATACGAATAAATGCTCTTTTAGGGTCCTCCATAATTTTTAAAAGTGGGAAGGGGTCCTGAGAGCAGAAAGTTTAAGAAACACTACAGGTTGAGGGGGAGTGACATTACAGTAGTCCTGACACAGATATTGCATTCATGTTTTCTTTTTTAAGCGCAGCCTATAGAGTTCCTTCTCTATCACACTTCATTCCCTCACTATACCAATCACTATCCCATTCTGCCTAAGAGCGAAGGAAAGAAGCTTCTCCAGAATTGCAACCACCTTGTCTTAACACCTGAACTACTTGCAAGAATCCAGTTTTCCCAGCGGCTTTACTTACAGCACCCGGCATAGGAGGGGTCTTCATCTGAACCATCTCGGCAGTGCACCGTGCCATCGCACACCATGGAGCGCAGCAGACACTGTTGACGGTTCTTGCACATGAAATCCATGTAGCGTGTACAGAGGGATTCTCCAGAGTGGCAAGGCGCAGCGAGGTTGGGAAGGAGGAAGGAGATAAAGGAGGATAAGCATTGGGAAAGAAAGCTTTACCGTTCTGGCTTCTTTGGACCCTCCATCAAGGATTTTTTTTTAACTACTGATCATTGTAGTTAGCAAACATTTAAGTAGCCTTAAGATAAAAGTCCTAGGGCAGCACATAAAATTAAATATTTAAATTAAATTAAAATATAAAATTAAATTAAAATATAAAATTAAATTAAAATATAAAATTAAATTAAAATATAAAATTAAATTAAAATATAAAATTAAATTAAAA